AGACCGGCCCCTGGCCAAACATGGTGAAACTCAACTCTACTAAAAAAGTACAAAACGGCCGGGCGCGCGGTGGCTCAAGCCTGTAATCCCAGCACTTTGGGAGGCCGAGGCGGGTGGGATCACGAGGTCAGGAGATCGAGACATCCTGGCTAACATGGTGAAACCCCCGTCTCTACTAAAATACAAAAAACTAGGCGGCGTTGGCGGGCGCCTGTATCCCCAGCTACTCGGAGGCTGAGGCAGGAGAATGGCGTGAACCTGGGAGGCGGAGCTTGCTGAGCCGAGATCGCGCACCTGCGCACTCCAGTCTGGGTGACACAGCCGCGAGACTCCGTCTCAAAAAAAAAAAAAAAAAAAAAAAAAAAAAAGTACAAAAATATAGCCAGGCGTGGTGGCACATGCCTGTCAGCCCCAGCTACTCAGGAAGCTGAGGCATGAGAATCGTTGGAACCTGGGAGAGCGGAGAGAGGGTTGCAGTGAGCCAAGATCACCCTACTGCACTCCAGCCCTGGGTGACAGAGTGAACCTCTGTCTCGAGAGAAAAAAAAAAAAAAATCAGGATATTGATGATTTTGGAATAGTCTTTAATAAAATAAGCAGCTTTCTACCTTTGGGAGATAGGAAAGATTTATAGAATAAGAATAAACAAAATTGAAAGGTCAGTAGCCCGTCCTTATAGCCTGCAAGACCCCTGTTTCCTGAGGATATTTTCATTTCTGAGGCATGTTCTCCCCTGTCATTTTCTTTTTTTTTTTTATTCATGATTGGCCGCCGGAGTCTCGCTCTGTCACCCAGGCTGGAGTGCGGTGGCGCAATCTTGGTTCACTGCAACCTCTGCCTCCCAGGTTCAAGCAGTTCTCCTGCCTCAGCCTCCCGAGTAGCTGGAATTACAGGTGCCTGCCACCAGGCCTGGCTAATTTTTTGTATTTGTTACTAGAGACAGGGTTTCACCATGTTGGCTAGTCTCCAACTCCAGACCTCAGGTGATCCACCCGCTTGGGTCTCCCAGAGTGCTGGGATTACAGGCGTGAGCCACCGTGCCCAGCCTTCTCACATCTTTAAGTGATTTTGTTTCCTATAATCATCTATACTACATAGACAGAAAAGAGGACAATACCATTTAGGAAAAAAAATCTTCCCTATCCAGGAATTCCACTTCTAGGTCTACATCCAAAGAACTGAAAGCAGGGTCTCTAGGAGATATTTACATACCCACATTCATATAGCATTATTCACAATAGCCAAGGGTAGAAGCAACCTAAGTATTCTCCATCAGCAGATGAATGGAGAAACAAAACGTGGTACACATGGACAATGGAATTTTAACACTATCAGCCTTAAAAAGGAAGAAAATTCAGAAATATGCTGCATCATGGATGAACCTTGAAAACCTGACGAAAAGTGAAAAAAGCCAGTCATAAAAGGACAAATACCGTATGATTCCATTTGTACGAGGTACCTAGAGTAGTCAAGTTCGTAGAGACAGACAGCAGAATGATGGTTGCCGGGGGCTCAGGGAAGGAGAGAATGAGGAGTTACTTAAGCAGCACAGAGTTACAGTTACGCAAAATGAAGAGTGCTGGAGACTGCTTGCACAATAATGGGAATGTACTTAACATCACTAAACTATACTCTAAAATTTTAGATGGCGATACGGTTTGGATTTGTGTCCCCGTCCAAATATCATATCAAACTGTAATCTCTAGTGTTGGCGAGGGGGCCTGCTGGGAGGTGACTGGATCCTGAGGGCAGATTTCCCCTTGCCGTTCTGGTGTTAGTGAGATCTCACTAGATCCGGTTGTTTAAGTGTGTAGCACCATGCCACCCCCCTTCTTTCTTCCTCTTCCTCCTCTGGCCATGTAATGATGTACCTGCTTCCCCTTCTCCTTCTGCCATGATTGTACGTTTCCTGAGGCTTCCCCAGCGATGCTGTCTGTACAGCCTGTGGAACCGTGAACCAATTAAACCTCTTTTCTTTACAAATTACTCAGTCTCAGGTATTTCTTTATAGCAGTGTGAGAATAGACTAATACAGATGGTAAATTTTATGTTATGTGCATTTGACACAATAATAATCACAAATAAAATCTTCCCTATGTCCCAAAGCTAAATTCTAGGGTTGAAAGCTCTTTTAGTTTTTGAACTACCACATTATCCATCATTTCAACAACATGTGGCAGGGTGAGAAGTCAAGCGAGACAAATAGCTCTTTTTGAGTACCTTATGTTGCTTAACGACAGGTGTACTGTCCAAAATAATTAGCTTTCAAAAGGAATGGCCTTAACCCTCCTCTGCAACTGGTTAGTGATCTCAGTTTCCCTTCATTAAGTTCTTGACAGCTCAATGTCCTCACATCTGTCACTGTTTGGGAGACTGATTCCGAGAACCTAAATTGCTGAAAGGACTAGGCAACACATTTATTCTGGTTCATGGGACAGAACTGAACCCATCTGTTTTCTAATCAAAAGCTGTATTTGAATCAGTTTTGTTCCCCCACAGGACCATCCTAATGGGAGCAATACAATCATATGGCATTTTCCTCTTTCCTATCTATGTAATATACACGATTACAGTAAACACTAATCAATTAAAGGCATTCAGAAACAGGGTCTTCACAGATTGTAGGAGCCACTACCTTTGCAATCTTTATTTTTATTTTTATTTTTGGAGAAGGAATCTCACTCTCTCGCCCAGGCTGGAGAGCAGTGGTGCAATCTCGGCTCACTGCAACCTCCGCCTCCCAGGTTTAGGTGATTCTCCTGCCTCAGCCTCCCAAGTGGCTGGGACAACAGGCACCCGCCACCACACCTGACTCATTTTTATATTTTTAGTAGAGATGGGGTTTCACCATATTGGCCAGGCTGGTCTTGAACTCCTGACCTTCTGATCCGCCTGCCTCGGCCTCCCAAAGTGCTGGGATTATAGGCATGAGCCACCGTGCCCCACCTCCCCTATGTCGTTCTAAAACAAACCATGTCGCTCAGAGGAAAAGTAATCCTAGTGGTCAGAAGAACAAGCAGATAAAGATTGCAGGCTGGGCACGGTGGCTCATGCCTGTAATCCCAGCACTTTGGGAGGTCGAGGCAGGCGGATCACCTGAGGCTAGGAGTTCCAGACCAGCCTGGCCAACATGGTGAAAACCCCGTCTCTACTAGAAATACAAAAATTACAGGTGGCAGGTGCCTGTAATCCCAGCTACTTGGAGGCTGAGGCACAAGAAAAGCTTGAACCCAGGAAGCAGAGGTTGCAGTGAGCTGAGATTGTGCCACTGCACTCCAGCCTGGGCAACAAGAACAAGACTCCATCCCCCCACCACAAAAAAGAGAACTACATAGGGGGTAAATATTCCTGTGTTGTAAAAATGGACTCTATGTTGTAAAAACAGACTTACCTTAATCTTTTTTTAAGTTGTAGACTGTCATGGATGATCCTTTTAACGAACTCTAATTCACCTCCTTCTGCCATGATCTCTGTGATGCCTCCTGTATTAACAGAACTAGGTGGAGGTCTTCGAGGATTTCGTGAGTTTACTCCCTGAACAACGACAAAAAAACACTGGTGAAAAATGTGTACACCCAAGAACCGAGTCTGAATGTAACCTATCTCTAAGTTAGAATGTTTAGATGCAATTTTACTTTCCAAATAGTACGCTAGATTTAGATTTTAAAATCACATAGCCAATAAAATATTTTATTTATTTTTTGAGACGGAGTCTCCCTCTTTCACCCAGGCTGGAGTGCAGTGGCGCGATCTCAGCTCACTGCAAGCTCCGCCTCCCAGGTTCAGCCATTCTCCTGCCTCAGCCTCCCGAGCAGCTGGGACTATAGGCACCTGCCACCACGCCCGGCTAATTTTTTGCATTTTTAGTAGAGATGGGGTTTCACTGCGTGAGCCAGGATGGTCTCAATCTCCTGACCTCATGATCCGCCCGCCTCAGCCTCCCAAAGTGCTGGGATTACAGGCGTGAGCCACTGTGCCTGGCCTAAAGTATTTTATTTTAAGCAGCTACTTCATGCAACTATTTATTCCCAGGTCTTTTACTTTCCATTTTTGTGATTAAACATAAAAATTATTTACCTTTTTATATAGCCCAATCTGTCACTTTTTCTTTATGCTTTCTTTTTCATGTACAGAAAATCCACCCAAAGATTAGATAAATATTTACTTATGTTTTTTCCTAGCATTTTCATGGTTTTGCTTTTCACATTTAAATATCTAATCCACCCTTACCTCATACCATATGAAAGTTAACTCAAAATTCATCCAAGACCTAAAAGTAAAACCTAAAACTATAAAACTCTTTAGAAGAAAACATAAGAGTAAATTTTCATGACCTTGGAATAGGCAATGGTTTCTGAAACATAACAACAAAAGCGTAAGCAACAAAAGAGAACAGATAAATTGGACTTCATCCGAACTAAAAACTTCTGAGCTGCAAAGGGCACCATCAAGAAAGTGAGAAGATTGGCCGGGCGCGGTGGCTCAAGCCTGTAATCCCAGCACTTTGGAAAGCCAAAGTGGTAGGAAAGAAGAAAGTGAGAAGATTGGCCGGGCGCGGTGGCTCAAGCCTGTAATCCCAGCACTTTGGGAGGCCGAGACGGGCGGATCACGAGGTCAGGAGAGCGAGACCATCCTGGCTAACCCGGTGAAACCCCGTCTCTACTAGAAATACAAAAATTACAGGTGGCAGGTGCCTGTAATCCCAGCTACTTGGAGGCTGAGGCACAAGAAAAGCTTGAACCCAGGAAGCAGAGGTTGCAGTGAGCTGAGATTGTGCCACTGCACTCCAGCCTGGGCAACAAGAACAAGACTCCATCCCCCCACCACAAAAAAGAGAACTACATAGGGGGTAAATATTCCTGTGTTGTAAAAATGGACTCTATGTTGTAAAAACAGACTTACCTTAATCTTTTTTTAAGTTGTAGACTGTCATGGATGATCCTTTTAACGAACTCTAATTCACCTCCTTCTGCCATGATCTCTGTGATGCCTCCTGTATTAACAGAACTAGGTGGAGGTCTTCGAGGATTTCGTGAGTTTACTCCCTGAACAACGACAAAAAAACACTGGTGAAAAATGTGTACACCCAAGAACCGAGTCTGAATGTAACCTATCTCTAAGTTAGAATGTTTAGATGCAATTTTACTTTCCAAATAGTACGCTAGATTTAGATTTTAAAATCACATAGCCAATAAAATATTTTATAGTTCGTAGAGACAGACAGCAGAATGATGGTTGCC